TTACCATTTTAGTTTATCTAATAAGATATTCTTTTGTTGTTTTTCTAACCTGCTAACTGTGGATTATCTCTAAGACTCATAGATCTTTTCTGTGTATCTCTTTGCTTTAATGGTTTCATTTATGACCAAGAATCCCTATAGTTTCCAGATCTACATTTGTTCTGTTTTGTTTGTTTGTTTGTTTGTTTACTTATTTATTTAGAAAGCACACATGCGTGAGCAGAGGAGGGGCAGAGAGAAAGGGAGAAAGAAAATTCCAGGCAGGCTTTACTGTCAACATGAGCTGAATGCAGGGCTTGTTCCCACAAACCCTGAAATCATGACCTGAGCTGAAATCAAGAGTCAGATGCTTAACCAACTGAACCACCCAGGTGCCCCTCCAATATGCATTTCTAACTAGATTTCCCACCATCTCTCCAGGACCTTATCTTAATTTTCCATAGAATATCTTCTCTCAGATTTCTCATATTAATCTGGAACATACTTTTTCAAAACCAACCTCATTTTAGCTCATTGCCTACCCCGGTCTACCTCTCCCTCTTCATTTCCATTCATATATCCCAATCACAGACTCTTCTTTCTTTCTTACTCCAAAATTTTAGAGTCATTTTTCATCACACTTTCATCATTGTTGATTTTCACCTAGATTTGCTAATAGTCTCCCTTCTTAAGTATTCTGTTCTTCCATGGTTGTTACCATTGTTTAAATTCTCATTTTCTTAAAAGCTACCTGGTATCACTGTATCCAAATTATTCTCTATTGCCTGCCCACTGATCCAATTTGTTCAGAGATACTGCCTGAATCCTACCATGTATGGTATCTATGGTGGTCCATCAGAAGCCTTCCTTATTCCTCTGCTTTCCCCAAGTCAGCTGTCATATTTAATTCTCATTGCTCTCTTTTACACTAACTTTTCTAAATACAAACTCTTCATTTATTATAACTTTTCTAAAGACCCTGGGCTTTTGCAGGACTGAGTCTCATTGCTTATCACAAAATCATTGATCCCATCAATTAAAAGTTTATCTCCTCACAACATAGCTAAAGTGATCTCTCTCATCCTAACATATTATTTTTCTTTTGCTTTCCAAACTCATTCATTGTTTTAAAATCAGCATTCTTTATGTGAACTTTTGTGAACTTAGACATTCAGTTTGTACTATATTCTTGACATGTAACTTAACAAAATGCATGACCATACTATTTTGAACATCTGGTACAGCTCTGTTCTTGAGTTTAGGCTCCTTTGGCAATGAGACATTTATTCTTTTCTCTCCTTTATTGTAATGGTTTTGCCACCCTGATTATTGTCCAGACCCCCTACCCAAGGCATGCGAAGTGACTAGTGAAATTTACATATTTTCTATAAAGTAGATCCCCAAAGCCTGGGTATAATACCAAAGTACCCCTATGTTCCAGTTCCAAAAATACTTGAAGAAAATCATCATTTAGGGGACCTACATATACTCAACATATGCTAATACTAAATTTTAAAATAATATATTTTCATGTTACTATTTTAGGAACATAGGAGGAAAGGACACATTTTTCTTTGAACTACCAGTTGTCTTAGGTAATTTTTACCTAACTTGTTTTGCTACTTTTCTCTTAGATGAAAATGGCATAATTATTTCTTAAAATCCTACAGGTCTAATTGGAAGATTTTAAACATTTTTTTTTCTGAAATCAAAATTGGCCTTTTATAACCCAAGAATAAAATATATGACTTTTCTTTTGAAAATATTTGCAATTATACTACCTCTATTTTGATAATTAAGGATATATCATAAATACTCTCCTCAAATAAACATGTTAATTTTATAAGAAAATGGAAGGATTTCTTTTTTAAACTGCTTATGCAAAAATTTCTACCTGACACAAAATAACTCTGCTGTGACTTTCTACATAATTACTATGTTCATTTTTTCCCCTGCATTTCTAATAGTAACAAAAATGAGTATGGAGAAATAAAGATTCCATACCATTAGCAATATCATTGCTAATATTTTGCATTCTCTGCTGCAGTGTTCTCGTGAAATATATCTATATCTATCTATATCTATATCTATATCTATATCTATATCTATATCTATATCTAT